GAAATATTAATTTAACATAATAATAACCATACTTTTTTTATGCTTTCACGTGTGATTATACTTATCGCAGTGTCAACTGTCAGAAAATTTTAAAAACCCTACTGAAAAATATTTTGTAATTACATTTGTAATTACACTTGTCAAGCCATTTGTAGTGCTACTTGGAATTCCACTTGGAATTACACATAGGGTTTTAGAATGGAAATTCCAAGTGGAATGCCAAGTATTATTCCTGGTAGAATTACAAATAACAACTAGAGATGAATTTTTTTTCTTTTTTAAATAGTTTAAAATAGAATCGTACGCAGCGTAATGGACATAAATGGGGTGACCATCAGTATAGTAACACCAAAACAGGGGGATTCAGTTCATTTTAAGAAAACTTGAAAAAAAAATAGAAATAGTAGTTTTCCTACGAGTTTGAAAAGTCTCTGTTTGCGAACCGAGAGGTTTGCGGCCCGAGCCGAAGGTGAGGGACGTAACGAGGTTCGTAAAGGAGACTTTTCGAACGAGTTCCGGAAAACTGCTTTTTCGCCCGAGGAAGTAACAGCCTCCCAAAACCACCCGAGGGCGGAAAATTCTATTTTCTCTAAGTTCGTGAAAAAATACTTTAATCGCCCTGTTTTGGCGTTATTATACGGATGATAACACCTGTAATGGCCATTGCGCTGTGCAAGATTCTATTATAAACTATTTAAAAAAGAAAAAAAAATTAATCTCCAATCGTTATTTTTAATTCCACTTGGAATTACACTTACCATTTCACTTGGAATTTCCATTCTAAAACCCCATGTGTAATTCCAAGTGGAATTACAAATGGCTTGACAAGTGTAATTACAAATCTAACTACAAAATGCTTTTCAGTAGGGAAATGACAGTCACCCGATGATAATTTTTATTAAATACACTATATCAAACTATTTCCGCTTGAACTCTTCATGACCATTGGCTGCTACTCTGACGCAACGTACTGTTCCGTGTCCATGTGCACGCCACGATGCACTTTTTGTCAAATGGAAACGGAAGCGTCACTTGCTAAACCACCGATGGTGGGGAAACCTTCTTTTTGACACAGTGATGTTTCATTGGCTACTTTTGCAGCCATGTAACCGCGGCCTAAACTGCGAAAGCGCATTATCGTTATTTTTGGTTATTTTGTAGGGATTGTAAAAAAAAAAAAATGCTTATTTTTGCGAGATATTATTTAATGCCCCGATCAGAGTATCAGACCTGCACTTTTGATCGAGTCCTTCCATATCGTGATCGAGTTTGAGTTTTTACAGTCACATTTCCTTGGATGTAACCTGTTCTCTACCCCAAGTAAAGTGTTTGTCAAAGCTTAAGCTCGATCGCGATATTGAAGCATATAGAGGTATAAAAATAGAGCACGCAAGTGGGCAATTTGCACGTGATCAGCTAAGAGAAACAAAACTGCATAAGAAGAGTTCTATCTCTCTCTGACCGTCTGCTCTACCTTGCGTTATCGGGAGAGCAGGAGAGAGAGTCGACTAATCACGCTCAGCTCGGCTAGACATGGACACGATTCTTCTTACGTGCAGCTATCTCTCTCTACACTGATCTCGCTGCCACTTACAGGCTAACATACCGCTTGCGTGCTCTATTCTTATATTTCTATGTATCGAAGGGCTCGATCGAACCTGTGAACAGGGCGAACTTTTTTTGGGACTATATCCAGTTTATTGCAGAGCTCTATAGCCTCTATTGCGTTCTATAGATTTGTTTAAGTCACTTTTGGTTCGGTTCGGTTCGGTTCTCTCAACAAAATATACTTATATATAATGAGCTAAACAGATCTGGTTCTGTGTACATAGGTATATTTCGTTAAGAGAGTCGAACCGAACCAAATGGGGCTTGAGCGAACCTTATGTGGTACGAAGTACCACCTCCAACGGGTTGCAGTTTTGTAGCAGTATCGATCACACTCGTCAGATGGCGTATCAGTAAGAAAGGCACAACATATAGATATAAAAACTATATTATGTAATCGTAACTATTTATTTACAAATATTACGAAATACTACTAATACGTAGAATAAGATACAATGGAGGCAGTAAATTAATGAATTAAAAATTAGGTTGAAACCAATTTCGATAATTTTTTTTTCTCTCTACTTTCTTTTAAAACATCCTTATTTTGTATGTTAACGTACTGTCTCATTCTCGTGCTAGTGTAATGATAAATAGATTTGGATATTGCATCTTTTTTATGTAGTTTACAGGGGAACTGAAACTTATTGAGCAAAAGATTTCCAACAACACATTCGTAAACATTGACAAGCTGATTATTTATGGCTTCCCTGAAATATTTTTCTATTTTATCAAAGATTTTGTAAAAAAGAGAATTTGCATGGGTAAGTCGTCCCCTATTTTTTAAGTTTTCTTAATAATGCTTCTGGTTTAGCAGAGTTTACGGGATTACTATTTAAAGTAATTTGATTTGTGGTGCATTTTTTAAATTTTTTTCATAGTTTAAACTATGTCGAAATTTCGACAAATAAAGCCAGTGACGTAATAAGTAATACAACTCATCGTGAACAATATTGTGAGAAATGTTAAAATTTGTATTTACACTTTGGTGCACCTTTTACGTTACAATTGGTTTCTCGTCTGCTACTGCCTTTTCGACACCAATCCTCCTAGTGGTCAACTTTGGTACTGCTACAAAATTGCAACAGACCGCACAAAGCATAGAGGTGGTACTTCGTACCACCTGTCTTATTTTACACCGTGCCATCGTGCTAACAACGAATATAGACAATGAATATAGACGCTTATATAGACGCTTATAGAAGCCCACTTCTGTGTTAAAAAGTGGCGAAGAGTTTGTTGGGTACCAAATTAGTAGTTTTGGTACCCAGCCACGTAAAGGTGCTGGTGGCTGAGCGCTCTGAATTAATGAGAATCATGCGGGAATTTCAAATTTCAAATGATGTAATGAGAAACTTTGCGCATATTATTCCTGGTTATGTGAAATATATAGTATGTAAATATTAAATTTGTACATGATTTAATTTTTCAGTACCAATGTGTGTTTTCCTGATTATTAATTGGTCAATGGTCCAGCCGACGTGTACATAAACATATTCATAAGTATACTATTATACATTGTCGTGAAGGTAGCACGGTAAAGAGAATACCAATTATATTTTTAAATTGTATTTACAATAACGATCCCTACATTGGCTATCTATTAGTACATATTATAATTTTTTATTATTCATTGTGATGACAACATAGTACTGGTGAGAACAATAGGTAGTCTATTTTTTCGAAAATGTAGGTAGCATTATCAATGATAATTCTCACATTTCTATAAATTTTACATACAACAAATGCATCCGTTCGAAATTCGTAAACATCATTCGGACCGTTTGAAGCTAGTTTTATCAAAGATTGAAATTGTTTATAATGTTTCCAAAAATTTTAATGTTTGTTTAAGGATTTTTATCTATTTATAATTTATTTATATTTATTTACAATTATTGTATGTACAGTATAATAAAAAAAATTTTTTTTAACAATTGTACCTTTTGATATTATTTGTGTTACCGAAGTAAAGCTCTCATTGGGTTCGAAAAAATTTTAAATTATCGCCTACTACTGGTTCATTCAAATCCCGAGAGCATATTTCGACCAATAGCCGGGAGCACACTCTGCTCTGTCTCGTTTTATTATTGTTTTGACAAGTTTATGCAGGATCCTTGTTTGTAAAAAAAAATTGCTCGTGTGTCACTATCAGGACGGACGCAGTCAAGAGATTTTGAAATTGGCTGATCAACGCAGTAATAGTATTTTAATCCGGTATTGTAAAATATTTTGTCCAGTGACGGATAAATTAACAGTTTTTTGTATGTTTATGAGAACGAAAAATGCCTTCACCCCGTATCCAATGTTCCTTTATAGACTGTTGTAATTCAAAACAAAAAACACCATCAAAATCGTTTCACAGATTTCCCACGGATGACTCCCGGTACGTTTTTTCTTTATTGTTTCTACCAGTGTAATAAATATTTCTGATGAAAGTGCAACGTTGTGATTGTTTCATCATGTACATGATGATACTAATAACTTTTGCGCACATATTTCTTTATGAGAAATAGGATAAAATATCGAGACAGGGATATTTGTTTTAAATACAAACGTTATTATCGATTTTAACACAGGCGCGATCAGTGGATTAAAAACATCGGAAACATACATCTTGTGGGACTGGAAAAACGACAGTTTGACAACAGATGAGTGTGCAGTGATCACTTCGAGGAAGACAACTATTATTCCAGCAACGGAATAAAAAAACTAAAAAATTCGTCACTGCCGCGAAATTATCTTGAGGACACGATCCCAAGTAGTACTTCACAACAATGTGACGTAACGAATTTGAACGTAAATAGTTTATCTACTCGCGAAACCGTACATACAGACAGCAGCAGAACATCGAACTTGTATCGTGCGGAAAATCAAACACCCGTGTCTCAATCAGTTTCCATTCATTCTAGTATCAAGAAATTAACATTGTTCCCTGCATCAGATGCCCACACACGCGAAAAAACGATTGGTGAATTAAAAAATGAAATACTTGCTTTGAAAAATCAATTGGTTGAAAAAGAAAAAAATGCTAAAAAAGTACAGTATGTTGTAAATAAGTTGACCGCAAATAATGTTTTATTGAAAACTAAGACAGCTAACATGCAAAAAATTTTATATAAAAAAAAATAAAAGGATATTAATTTTACAAAAATCAGTAAAAAAAACAAGAAGATAAAAAAAAAAATTAGACAACATCGAAAAGTTGAACAAAAATTTTGTAGAATTTTTTAAAATGCAAGTTGATCACGTAAAGCAAAAGAGGTGGGCAAATAATGAAAGAGAATTTGCTATAAATTTGCGTTAACTTAATTCGAAAGTGGGTTAACGAGTTAGATTTGTCTCCCGGGCGAAACATTTCATTACTACGTCTATTACAAGACAAAAGTAGTAATATGACTGAAGAAGAACGCGAATGTATACTTATGTGGGACGAAATGTCAATAAAAACTTGGTTGCAATACGATCCCAAAAGAGATTTGATCGAAGGTTTTGCCGATCTAGGCATATTCGGTGGTTCACCACGCCGTGGGAATCATGTGTTGGTATTTTTATTGAGGGGTAGACAATTTGATTGGAGGCAACCTATTTGCTATTACGTGTCACATAATGCTGTTGATGGAAAAATGTTGGGTAAAATAATCTTAGATGTGATCAAGTATGTTGAAAAAGCGGATTTTGTTCTTAAATCAATGGTGTGTGATCTCGGTTCCCCCAATCAGAAGGCCGTTAAAATTTTAAGTATTTCAAAAGAAAAACCGTACATTGAGCGTTTGCAGCGTAAGATTTTTTTTAATTACGATGCACCACATCTGATTAAATGCCTTCGAAATACCTTTCGAAAGCGCGAACTCATGGTCGGTGACAAATACGTATCGTGGGGTGTTATTTGCGAGTTGAGAATCCATGAGCGAGATCAACCATGCAAAGCAGCACCAAAATTGTCAGACAAAAGCACGTTGACCTGACTGTGTTTGAATTAATGAACGTCAGCTTGGCAACTCAAGTATTTAGTAACTCGGTTTCGTCGGCAATTATGGCTGGTGCTACTGCACCGGAACGTCCACTTATGCACCCATACTGTATTTTTGCAGCAAATTTTTTAAAAAATATTAACGATCTTTTTGACTGTCTGAATAGTAGGTCGGGAAACGATAAAAATCTTTTAAGACGACCATTATCTGATCAAAACCCTCAAGTCATACAGTACTTACAAAACAGCTTAGAGTACGTTAATTTTTGGAAATGCAGTAATAAAAATGGAAATCCTCCCTGCTTTGACGGTTTTTATTTAACTATCAAAAGTATTCTACTCCAGTGGGAGGACATGAAAGAGCAAGGGGGAATTTATCTGCTAACGACACGTCTACAACAGGACCCGTTGGAAAATTTATTTGCGACATTGCGAGACTTTTCTGGCCATAATCAGAACCCGACAGCAATTCAAATTAGATATAGTTTACAGTTACAGCATCACTGCAAATTTATCTTTAGCTTCCCATTCCAGTAACTGTAAACCGGACAGAACGGTCGCTCTTTTAGCATCCCCCGAATTTGATCAAGCACATAAAACTCTAGAAAGGAACGAAAGCTCTGAAAAAAAGATAAATAATGACGAAAACTTTTTTCTTGATAATAGTAACTTTGATTTTTGTACTCACGAATACGTATCGCACCCCCAAGATTCTTGCACAGCGAGTGGTACAGATAGCAATTTATGTAACGAAAACACGGGGCAAGGAACAAATGTCAAATCCAGCAACGGCTCATTGAAATTGCTTAATATTTGTAATGAAAGTGCTGATCTACAATTGGGTAACTTTCTCGACGCTCAATCACTCGAATTAAATGATTCGTACACGCCGCTGCGAGCTTCAACGAAGTACGTTGCTGGATACGTAGCTATGAAATGTTTGGCAAAATCTGGCTGCACTGATTGTAAATCCAATTTAACACGGGAAAATAAGAATTTTGAGCAAAATGACGATTTATTAATATTTTTTAAGGCTTACAAAGTTTTTCAAACTACAAATGAACTCGGTAATCTGTGTGTACCTTCGGACTCGTTTTTTTAAGTAATCGTGGTATGTATTGAAACATTTGATTCGACTTTTAATAATTACGCTCATACCGAAGATGTAGGTAAAATGTTGATCAAAGAAATAACATCAAGCATAATAAATCAATATTCCAACTTTTGGATTGTTGAAGAGCCTTGTAAATCCCATCGCAACGAAGTCATTGCATATTTTGTTAGAATTCACATTTTTTATAAATTAAAATGGATCAATCATGATTTCAGAAATGCCAAGAAAAAAAAATGTTGAAAAAAAACCGAATGCCAAACTGAAAAAATTGAGACATGAATATATAATACTATTAGCAAGTCAGCACGTGTTCTGTTTGTTGAAAAAAAAAAAATTTGTTTTAACCCCCACCACCCTACTTGTGAGTGAGATCGTTCTGTATCCTACGCGCTACTGACATGATTCGTTAAAAGTAATAACATAATAAGGAAAATTGTAACTCAAAAAAACTTAAGATATTGTGAGTTAAGATTGTTTTTTTTCCTTTAGCATAATAATTTGAACTTTATTGTTTTTTTTCCCTTTAGCATAATAATTTGAACTTTATTGTTTTTTTTTCCCTTTAGCATAATAATTTACACTTCATTGCGCACTTTTTGTTGATTCCGGAAAGTTGTTTCTTTGCGATTTTTATATATTGATTCTAAAAAGTATTTTTACGTCTATATCATTATTTGTATTTTTTTATGAAGTTTTAGGTTTTTTAAGTATTTCTTGCTGTATTGAAATTTCACAAAAAATAATAAAACCAGGCTCAATAATTTATTGATATAAAGTATGACTTAGTAGTTATTAACTTGATGTAGTTTAATTAATACTTGTTCATATGATTTAAGTTACGGAATCTTACTAATATATAAAGCAAATTCGCTAAAACCGTTGTAATCGCTAACCGCGAAAACTACTGAACCGATTTTGCTAAAATTTTGCACACTGATTCATGATACTTCCTAGATGGTTTTAGTATAGTTTTAACGTTAAAAAATTTAATAACAATAGCAATAAATGAGCTCAAAGTTTTGCAAAAATACCCCAGCTTTTCACTTTAGTTCAGTAAAATCCGCTAGGTGGCGTCGACATAAAATCGAGGCTACCTGCAACAGAATTCAATAAGTATGGTTATACTACGCCGGAGCGTCATCGATAATGATGCAGTCGTGCTTCGGCAACTCAACAAGCTGCATAGAGTATGCTGATGATAGTCTTGCAGCTGGATATACCGGTTACGGACGACACTCTTCTGCAAGGGGGAAGGGACCTAGGTTTCCATTCACCCTGAATCTCGAAGAGTGCGATCAACAAAAAATTCATTCCAACCGATGACGTCTCTGGCATAATACCAGGAGACATATCTAGCCAAAGCACAATCTGCACCATCTCTTCAGAGTTGTGTGGCAGTCCCACCATCCCGCCTGGTGCAGTCAGAAAATTTTTGGCTACAAATGTAAGCAAGGGAAAACAGCTCTGAGGGGCACGGGCAGCCACAACAGCTACCTTCTTAGTCGTTGCATCCCCAACGCGCTTACCCACATGTTCCCGTCTAACGATGAGCGGTTGGTTATCCGGGGAACGACCCGAAGACGAGATATTCTTTGGTCAGCGGCTACCTCCCTCCATCACAGTCTCCGTACATCGAGACTCCCAGGGTAAGAATCAAGCTACCCGTAGCCAGCTCTTCATCATCAGGAATAATAATAAAGAATAGCCTGGAAGTTTCACCACTGGCGCTTTTTAGGGCCATTATAAGTATTTACGTTCCCTACTTAACCATCAATCTTATCGGTTCTTTTTAGGGGCCACCTAAGTGTAAACTACCTTGCCAACAAATACATTTTTACTACCATTTCCGGAAGCTATTCGTCGACTAAAAGACTATATTAACTAAAGACGGGAACTAATAAACCAAGTCAGCCATTCACTAGTAGACGTTACCTGCGGAGTTGTTCTTCGCAAGGCTGGAAAACACGGTGACCGACGACCCTATAGTACCCTCTCGACTCTAAGCACTCAACCAGGAATCACCGATCCTCTCCAATGTCTGTGCTGGGCAAACCTATAACAGCTATGAAGGAAAAAAAACTTGAGCCAACGGGACAGCCTCCACTGGACAAGTATCACTAACCAATCTCCCCATCTAAGATCACCAAAACAACTGAATCTGCAAATAAAAAAGGTGCTTTAGACACCAACGTCTTCGACGTTAT